GCCGAAATTCCCAACCAGTAAAGTCAATTGACTAATTATCAGACAAAAGCAAGCACGCCAAAACACTAAATAGCTTGGACCCGGCAAATGAAGCAAGGAAAAAGAACATGGAAACGAGAACATCGGTGATCGGTTTGACTAAAAATTGAGTTTTCGCTGTTCCCGAAATAGGAAAATCTGAATATCATTGAAATAGCCGGAGGGAGAGTCAACATGCCTGACTAATTCACAGGAGGTTGTTGACATAAGGGATAGCTGAATCAGACTACGTATCACGAAGTAGACATTGGATTCCACAAAATCCATCTGGCAGTTCAGATAGCTAGAAAGATAGACAATTCTAGCAGTCAAGTGGCAGCCGAGGTATGAACGCAGAGGAACAAGAAAAATGGCCAAGAAAGGAAATCATTGGTAAACGACACAGGAAGAGATGTTAGCTGAGCCGGAACCATTTTCAACGGTGCTAGTATTAAATCATGAAAAGAAGGGGCCAGTGCGCTTCTCTGCATCCTAGTTAGTTGCCATTACTCAGAGTAGTAGGCAAGAGCCCTAATTACGGCAATGAACAAGGCCATGGAATCCTGGATCCCAACAAACATGTGGGCCTCCGGCCCGAGCACGATAGTAAATGGATCAACATTACCAAAGTATTTAACCCGCGGAAACCTCTGAGGAACAGGTTTAAATTCCAGTGACGATTCAAGCTGTAGTGGATTCATTCCCAGTCAACATCTACACTAATCCTGGATAAGGGAAACAATAGTTAGTGAAGGTGGAATTGACGCATTGATTGTGAGAAAAGCAGACACGACGCAACCATTCATAAATACTAGCATTCACCAGATAGCGCAATGTGGGTGTCAGGACAAAGGGTGATAGACTGCCAAAGGTGCTACCTCAATGTCCACCAAATGCGCAAACAGAGACAAGGAAAAAGAAGGGAAATAACTGTGATTCTTGATTCCCAAATTTCTCGGCTAAGACAATACTTCAAGTAGCAAATGAAACGAATATTACTCCTGGAGGCACCACCACCTAGAATGCATAACACCTGGCTCCCATAACCCTTATCCTCTGCCCACTTTGAGGGTAAAAAAGACTTAATGGGTTGGATAACAATTACTATGAGGAGATAATAAGATCCAAAAGTTAAATGTAGCAGTAGAAATAGTTCCAAAAAGCCCTCATCAACGAAACACCGGTGTTCTTTCTGTTCTTTCAGAATGACGTTGAGCTCAGAAAATAACCGTAAACATGATTCTCTTGACCCAGCTAGGCCTTTAGATCCACCGATTTTAAGGCACAATAGACAACAAATAGGGTAATAAAAACCAACATTTCAGAATTTAGAATATTGGTGAGCCGGAAGGCAGATGCAGCAATCATATTGTATGAACAGCGTTAACGTTAGGTAAGTGTCTGGTACTGTGTGAAATCAAAGGCAAAAAGAAATGGCAAATAAAGAAAGAATAACGACCAACAAAGCAGTATAAATTATTTTCAATGAGGAAAAATGGGGATTACATATTTTTGACAAGACAACTTACAAGGAGACATCTGCAGAGTAGCCGCCATAGTCAAATTTCATGCGATAGAGGTGTGCCCAACTGGAGTATGTGAGGCAGAATAAGAAAGAAGTCCAGAAAGCCCGCTTGTACGACAAGATGTGTAAAAGAAGGTAAACCGCTGCAGCCATTGCAAGGAGGTGACCACTCCGACTAAAGAAAAATAGGTCAAACGTTGAATCTAAAAGGAGTCGAACAAAAGCAGCAAGAACTGCAGAGAAAAACTTACACTCCGTAGCAGAGGAAGGCGATCAAATAACCGACAAAGAATGAAATAATGTGTCGGGTAAAGGGCGAACATTTGCGAGGATTGCAAAACTTGTAAAACACGAATCCGAATACACAGCACGTTATCATGCATGCTAAGAAAATTATCTAAGAATAATAAGCATACAGACGGTTAATTACTTTATCTGCACGAACTGGGCTCTGTGCATCTTGCATTTTCCAAAAAGTTCCTATATTAGCCTCCATGAGACAGGACTAGATCCAAAGAAGGTGGAGCAATAACCACAAGGACGTAAGTGCGCGAACTCCCATATGACAAGCTCGACCTTTAAAAGTGTTTTAATTAACCGAGATAGTTCAAGTCGATTAGCATGAAGCATTGGTGCTAAAGACTGAAAGCAAGAAGGACCGCTCAACAAAAAGCCTAATGTTACCGAAATATTGTTATGGCACATTACTTACAAAGGCGCTAAGAAAAAACTGTAACCTAAGAATCTGCAAAAATTACCCATTTGAAATGCTACCAAGCATTTGGACTAGTTTTAACAATAATTATATATTCAGAAAACAATATTAAACAATTTTTCCAAGGAATTGCGCAATTGACTCTAAATCAAAGCTACAAAATAATGAAATATTCTCCAGATAATTATGTTTCAATTCAGCCTTTAGTCAGGGGCCTGAACACAGGACCATATTCGTTTCAATATTATTTAAAATTTTATATTTTGCTAAATGTAGCGTATCAAGACTACCCACGGGCTGGCAGAATGCATAAGGCGTAGCTGAATTTTCGCATTCAAAGGAAAGAAAAAAGACTAAGCCTGAGTAAGAACTGAAAGCCAGCCTAAGTTCACAAGGACCAGGCGATTACAATGATGGCAGCAATACATCAGCTATACATTGTGTCACGGCTAAAATAGGAAATTTTCGAAACCTCATTAAAAATTTGACTTAAGATAGCGAAGAATATAAGTGTAATACTTCGTTTATATGACCACCTGATGTCCGGCGGTCACGTTGGGATTAGTCCGATTCTTGAACACATGTGTAGCGTCCCAAGGCTTCCAATGGGGTATTAGAAGGCATAAGTGCGGTTTAATACATGTGTTCCGAAAGCAATAGGAGACATGGGGCCTGAGCGCGACCCGAAGGCCAGCCCACGTGTACAGAGCCCAGACAAGTTCTAAAGTGACCGCCAAACGTCAGATAGTCACATAAACAAAGCATTACACTGCCTTCTCTTCTTTTGAGCGACATCCTCGGCGCTCCCCTTTAATACACCTCATGCTCCAGCCATCACAACATATTCGGTGCTACAAGAAAGCATCCGCGATCCAACCGCGCCAGTCGACAGACAACGCGAGAGCGAGGAACCGTACTTCATCTTCTCGGCAGCTTCAACTGGGTCTGGAGTTTCGTTCGGC